AATGGCTCTCTAACCACTTGCAAAGGTATGGTTAACACCTGAGCGGTGACAATATTACTACAGTCAATATGCTACACCCCGCTTCTGTTTGCCCCCCCCCCACCTCCCTGCCTGAGCTCCGAATCACCCGTCTCACTCACACTGTAATCGCTGAGCCCTGCCCTCACTCAAACACTCAGTAACTAGACGGCTTTATGAGGGACTCCTGGCGTGCGCACACACACACACACACACACACACACACACACACACACACACACACACACACACACACACACACAGACAGATCTCTGTGGGGGGCTGTAGCACGCACACAAACATCCAGTGTTTAACCATTTAAAACGGACTGTTTCATTCTTAAGTGCATTCTATACAGTCATATTAACGCAGTGTAATGAAAAGCTCAGTGATGAACAGCTCAAAGCACTCACAGCTAATATTATTAGTAAAACACAATCATTTAATATATAGCTTATAGTTAAAACTTAGTTGGATTCATATGTTATGTTATAATGAGGAAAAATTGTTTACAAATAGTGTACATCTTTTCAATTGCTAAAACACATTTTTTGACAACAGGGCTCATTTTGTCAAAACACAAACACAATTCACAAAACCACACACCCAAAGTGCAACACACCTCATATATCTTGCAAAATGAAGCACTGCACCCAAAACTACATAAACACTTACAAAAACCAAACTTTGTCCAACCAACTGCTTTATCTAAAGCACACTCATCTTGTATGTTGATCTGTATGTAGAGAATTCTGCATAAAAAGATTGTCTACAAAAATATGTGCAGATCACAAATATACAGTTGTTATACTTTTGTTTTTCTCCAAAGCAAATTGGTGCAACTTCCTGCACAACAAATAGTTACAGTTGTGTAAACACAAATGATGCCTTTGACAAATACAGTAAAGTGAAAAGAAAACTTGGAGGAAAAAGAAATACAAAAAATATTTTTAGAAAAAACAGAGGAGGGAAAAATACTCAGGCAGCATTTGACCCCCTCACTGGGTCTGACCACAGCCCCTCTTCCACCTGCAGAAGAAGCATCACCTGCAGCCTGACGCTACAGCTCCAACCGTTATGCTGCAAATAACTCTTCATCTGACTTCAGTTCATCCTCTCTCTCTCTCATCCTCTCTCTCTCTCATCCTCCCTCTCTCTCATTCTCCCTCTTGCTGCTGTCCATATATCCATTGTTGTTTTTATACATTTCTTACCTGAAGCCTTTTTCTAGTGCTTACATCCTGATTTCTGAGTCAACAATAAAGCCGTTTGGTGTTCATGGTCAGTTGGCATGTGTATCTGTTAATTGGTTCTGTGTGTAGCATTTTTAATGGCAGTTTTTTGAAAATGGCAAACAAGTGATTTTGTCAGATTTTTGTGTCTTACTTAGAGTGTGTGTGTGTGTGTGTGTGTGTGTGTGTGTGTGTGTGTGTGTGTGTGTGTGTGTGTGTGTGTGTGTGTGTGTGTGTGTGTGTGTGTGTGTGGAGGGGGGGGTTCCAGCCAGTTGAGCTCCCAGCAGTGCGCCCTCCCATGAGACTGATCAATATTTGAGTAAACAATCAGTTCTTTATAAGCTCCTGCCATCTGACAGACAGGAAGGAGCCCCTCATTACGGGACATTAGCACTAAGCTCTCATTAAAGGGGGGGGGATTTTGGGATTAGGCCGTCAGTGCTTTGAAGGATATTGCTGATTGACTGCTGAGAAGAGCTTTTCAATACGACAGCTCTGTCACTGCTATGTGATATGCTTCATTTGCTAAAAATGTTAAAAGATATTGTTGCATTTAAAATAATTCTGTTGCCTTTTTCCTTATTTAAGAATAACACTATGTGTCTGTGATCAGAGAGACACGTCAGTCTGTAGCAACAGAGACTCATCAGATGAAACCTGAATACATGTCAGAGGCCTCCAGTCACAGTGAGGCTCTGAACAGGAGTAGGGAAGAGGAAGATCAGAATCATCAGAATCTGAATAAACAAAATACTTTAATGTTAAAAAGTCCGATAAAGGTAAATTAAAATAGATTTCTGTGGAGAGAGTATTTTCAATGTCTGCTTTATTGATGGTATTTATCACCAGTAGTCAGTGGCGTTTTTATATGTACAAAAGTGGTGGGGCACGAACAACTTATATGTGTATATATAAGCTTCTGGTGCTTTTTTAAACACGTAAACAAATAGGCGCTTTCACACCAAGTACTTTTCCCAGGAATAGTTCCCGGAACTTAGTTCCCCGGAAATCTTTAGTTCCAGAACTATCTAGTAGTAGATCGCGTTCACACCGGAATAGAGTGGCGAAGTCACGCCCATCTACTTCCGACCCATGGGACCTTATTTCGGAAAAATAATGTATTGAAGTCAATGGAGAGAGAAAATGTATCTTTCGATCCCGTTTGAATTGTGCCATGAATTACACATATGATGTTTGTCAATCTTAAAAAATCATTTCCATGTCAAAAAAGTCACAGTTTGTCATAAAACTGTTGAAATATAAGACTATGAAAAAACGCAACTAGAAAGACTACAAATCTCCGAGTCGCGTAAGTGATGTCACTATTGTTTTCCTCCACTAAGAAATAGCTAAGATCAGCGCCATATAGATATAATCTATCTATATGGCGCTGGCTAAGATAAGATAACTTTAACAAGATGCCTGTGTGCTTAGTACCAGGTTGTTCATACCAGCAATGGGTCTTGCTCGTTCTTTCGCTTCCCGTCTGATGAAAGGACCAGGAGTGTCTGGATCAAGCTAGCTAGTAGCTAGCACGTTAGTTAGCATTACAGCCTTGTCATTTTTATTAGCCTTAACATGAAGTAACATTAAGTAACCCAAAATGTTAAACAGTAAGAGTAGTAGTCATATTTCGTGAACCCTTTGAATAGTCACCTGTGTGATCATTCTATAATACACAATTTAAGCCCGGGGGAGAAATGCTAACCTTCTCTACTTCATGCTATCTGCACAAATGGTTGACATTAAACATTAAAACGACCAGGCAGTTCAGAGAGAATCAAAGGAAGGCAGGCAGGCAGCTTTGCATGACATTCTTCAGGACGTGTTTCATTGTGTTGATAGTGAGGGTAGTCAATCGTTTTGTTTACAAGACAGTAGTGACGGCCATCTTGGTGACGTGTGTTGTTCTGTGAGACCAGAGATGTAGTTCATTGAGCGTTTCACACAAACAAATGTGTTACTTCACAGTTTTACGACACATTTTTTTTTTTTGACTTGCAAAATTATCTTTTAAATTGACAAACATCATATGTGTAATTCGTGGCACAATTCAAACGGGATCGAAAGATAATCTTTCTCTCTCCATTGACTTCAATACATCATTTTTCCGAAATAAGGTCCCATGGAGGTCCCCCGGAAGGGGAGGGACTTCGCCACTCTATAAGGCCGTTTCTCAATCGCGAGGATGCTGGCTTGGTAGCACAGCCGAGCCGAGCATCTTGCTTCAGAAGCAAGGCAAGAATACTTCCTGGCATTCGGAAAACGAAGAGTGGAACAGGCTAGCAAGTGTGCAGGTGTGCGTCATATGAGAGGCCCCGCCTTACTTCTTCCGCCACAGATTTGGGGAAATTGGTCCATGCGCAAAGCATTGTGGGGATTTTAAGGACGCGAAGTCTACCCATGTGCAGCCTCGAAATTTCCCCCAAACCAAGGACGCGGCCTCGGTGGAATTCCAAGTATGCTGGAGATTGGAACAGTCCTTCGGCGGCACTCGATGACGTCGCATCCTTGAAATATTGGCTTGGAAGCCAATATCCTCGCAATTGAGAAACGGCCTAAGTCCCTGAGGAAGCCGCTGACGTCACTTCTTCTTCTGCTTTGGGTTTACTGGCAGGCCGCAAACAACTTCACGGCGTATACTGCCACCCGAATATAAGGGTATAAGGAAAACACAGACACTCATCACCGAGGTCCCAATATCAATCGATCCAGCAGAGCAATAGCCTATAGGCAAAACACAGAAGATCAACAAAAGATATGACATAAAATGAACCTACCAAAGCTGCAGTAGATGGTCAACTTCATTCATTTCTTTCCGTTTTACTGATTTTAATCGCTATACGCTGCTCTCTCTCGTCTCCTCTTCACAAACAACTACAATTTTCGCGGCACACGTACTTACAGCCAATCAGCTCTCTGAATTATGAGATGACGTTTGGTAGGTATGTCAGCACAGTGCCCCTATGGTGATAATTATTGCTGCACACATTGAATAGAAAAATACTCTGAGCATGTGCAGTGTAGTTTTTACAGCAACCATTCACTTTCACAGTGAGAGAGAGGGGCTAGATCGGGGCTTGACCCACGTCGCTCAAAACGGCCCAATAGGCACACTGTAGACACTAATTAGAAGAACACAGACTAAAACAGCAATGTACAGACGAATCAGATGATTAAACATGATGATTAAAATATATTTTAAGATGTCTTTTTTTTGCATTTATTTGCATTTTCTTTGAATTATTATTTGAATGACTTTCTGCTGACACTAGGTGGAGCTGTGCCCCACCTGCCCCTAATGACCAGCCGCCACTGCCAGTAGTTAATAAAAAGAGAGGTAAATTGCAGTCTGTCCCCTCACATTCAGATAGGCAGACAAGCAGCACAGCATTAAGACAAAGTTCAACAGATCTTTTTAGGGGGGGCCTTTGTTTCAGGTGGATACAATACATTTGTAGGGATGTCCCTACATTATGGAGGTAGAGAAAACGCAACCCGTTGTGTTTTATACATAAATTAAAAAGGGGCAAAAGAGGAATAAAGGGGAATGAGTATGAACAAGTTGCAACATCACTTTTGTTAGGTAGATCAGTGAACTGGTAAGAAAGTAACAAGTGAGCCCCCCGCCTACCCTCACTTGACAAAAAAATCATTAGAAGTTCTTTATCCTCTAAGCGCGCTCCCGTCTCTTGTAAACGGGCGCGAGATTGTGCGTGCGCGCGCTTGGCTCGGCGCCGCGCACTCAGCCCTGTAGTAAAGCAGCAGAGCTCAGACATGGCGGCGGATCCTCAGCCGGACTGGCTCTCCTGCCTTCCCTCTTCTTGGAGTTATGGGGTGACTCGGGATGGACGTATATTCTTCATCAAGTAAATATGACGCGGAATCATGGATTTATGGATACGCAGTGATTATTGCTCCCACGCATTTTCCCTGTTTGTCTTTTTTCGGGTTCTCTGTTCACCTTTCCCCGTTTTCTTCCACCAACAGCGAAGAAGCGAAGAGCACAACCTGGCTGCATCCTGTTACTGGAGAGGCTGTGATCACAGGGCATAGAAAAACTCCAGGTAAACATCCGAGAGGGCTTTTCCTTCAATCCATGCCAACATACGCACGCACGCGCGCACGCAGCACCTGGGAAATGTTCTCCACGCGCCAGGGTGGAAAAAGGGGCGACCATGTCTCTGAGAGGGAGACGGGAGGGAGGTTCTGCAGCAGAGCAACAGCCTCGCTCCTCCGCTCCTCTGGCGGACCATTACGCACAGCGCACCCCCCCCCAACCTGGGCACTTTGCGACACACTTTTTAAAAGTTCCGTCACGTAGGCGAGAAAAGATTGTGGAGCTGATTCCCTGCAGTGACACATGACAGATGTGTTGCCGCCGCTGCAGGAGCCCCGCGCTCAGAACGCTCAGAACGCTCAGAACAATGCGGCAGAGCTGTTCTTAAAAACATCAGGACAGATGTGATGAGAAGCACCGTCACATGCACATCAGCGTTCACACAGCTGTATGCTGAGCGCTGACACACACACACACACACACACACACACACACACACACACACACACACACACACACACACTGAGTAATCCTCCAGATCTGCTCCGGGGAATGGGGAGGGGGCGCGGGAATGCGATAAAGGGCAAATGAGCTATTTGTGGTTCAGACACTGCATTGCTGCTCAGGTGTGTGTGCGTGCGTGTGTGTGTGCGCCTTTGTTTCTGAGTCTTGTGTTTTGTCTTCCTCTCATGTCCTCACAGATTTACCAACAGGATGGGAGGAAGGATACACGTTCGAGGGGGCTCGCTGCTTCATCAAGTGAGTTGGAATGTGTGGAGAGAGATGGAGAGACTGCTGGATGCAGGGGGGGGGGGGGGTCTGAGCAGTGGCTGAGGGGCTGCTTTGTTTGGTCGGCAGCACAGAGATTTCCCTCAGCCTCTGTGCCCTGCTGGAGGAATTCATAAATACCTCTGTTTACACACACACACACACACACACACACAATTAGTGTGATCAGATAGCTGCACTGCCTTGACTTCTCTCGTGCTGTTGTTGAGGCTTTCTGCTATCAGACGTGCTCTTGCCTTTCACCTCTCTCTCTCTTAGAGAACCACACACACACACACACACACACACACACACACACCCCAAAAGAGGGATTTGCTCAGGAACAAGTCTTCTGTCAGTTAGACGCTAGTTTGACAAGCAAGTGTGACTCACAGGCTGCTGGGCTGAACAGGCTCTACTTGTTGGTGTTCAGTGTGTGTGTGTGTGTACATGTGTGTATCTGTGGGCGTCTGTATGTGTGTGTGTTTATGCCTTCATGCACACACATGCAAACACACACACACACACACACACACACACACACACACACACACACACACACACACACACACACACACACACACACACACAGTCTCTGAGGTTGTGACAAGGCACTATCATTTGTTCTACCTACTTTCCCACCTAGTTTCCCTGCTGTTGCTCCTGCTCTCTGTGGCCATTTTGAGAGCAGCAGCTGACACATATGGTGAGCTAATATAGCTGCTCTATAAATAGCCCAGCACCGCTGCTTGTTGGTATGTATGAATGCATGCAGCACGTGCACACATGCATACCATGTATGCATGCATGCATGCACACGGACATGTAAATATACCACAGTATACACATGCTAACACTGACATGGCGTTTGATGCTACTGCTACTGCACGGCTCTCTGCTGCATATGTGACAGGTGAAAAGCTGTGAATGCAGTCGGATCACATTGAAAGCATGAGACTGTGTACAGTACATGTCAGCTGAGATGGACATGGCAGGATTAAGACATTCAGAAGGCCATACAACTTGCTGTTGGGCCAATGGTGACCCCCAAAACCCTTTTGGCCCTCAGCATGGTGTTCACCCTGTTGCTTCATGGTTCCATGTTAACAGCAGACATAGACCCTGCAGCCTTGCTCATGCTAATTCCCTGCCAAGTCTCAGAACCCAACATGGCAAACTGAGTTAAAGTTGTGTTAGATTTATTAGCCACACACTTGCTTGGAGCCAATCGGGATGAGTTGCAGAACTCCATATGGGCTTACATGGCAAAATAAAGGCCTGACAGAACTGGTGCACAGTACATGTAAATGTTCCCCTCCTTTTAGAAAAATCTAGAGATTTTTTAATTGATAGATTTTTCAGAAATGTGTTGATTTAGCATTTGGAAAGACAGTCTCTAGTTATTGCTGACTTACACTGGACTGGATCCATGCTGCCACATTCATGTATTCTTGAATACAATGAGCAGCATTTGACTGTGAACAAGTGGGCCCAGTGTCACATTCCCTGAACAACACTTCATCATCACAACTTCTTCAAATCCTTCAAATTCCTACAAAATTCCTGCTCAGTCACTTTTCTATCAGCCCATTATTCCAGCCCTGGCCCGCTGCTCTCTTATAGCCATGATGTTGGATGACTCTGCCCTCTGCCAGGCAAGAATCAATGCATAGCGTACCCCTCCCCCAACACTGTCAACTACAGGTCAAGACTCTACCAAGTTGCCGTAGTCAGTTTTTAAATAATTCTTTATTGTTTCATACAACCCAGGCCAGGGGGAAAAAAATCTGCAAAAACTATTTATATTGTATGAATGACTTTCGAGGCGTGAGATTAATTTCACTAATTGCAGTACTACTTTATAAACATCGAAAGTGTTTATTTGATAGAGATAGTTTACCCGCCACCCCCCTCTCTCCCACATAGTGAGGCGACCTGAGATCACCCCCGCCCTTCTTTGAGTGTGAGACCTTCCATCCCAGCTGCCTTCTGTCATAAGGGCGCCCACGCCCCCTTCTACCAACACCAACAACAATACACTATAAGAAATTACGTGCATAAAAAATGTACACCCCACATTCTTTTTTTCATTGTGCTTATGGCGCCCCCGTCAAAATGCCGCCCTGGGCAACCGCCCATGTCGCCCATATTAATAGCCGCCACTGATTTGATTTTAAACCCCACTAATTTGACTGCAAAGACGCACTCCTGATTTCAGAGCGTGCAAAGCACCAGTGGAGTATGAGGAAGAGACCGTGTGTGCCTCTTGTTTCTGCTTTGTGACTTCCACAGTCCAAACCACTGTTGTTTCAGGGAGAACTGAAACATGCTGGGCTGGCTGAGCCACATTTTCAGTTTGGTTGTTGCATGTTTTACAGATTTCAAGGCTATTACAATGTCTTCCAACCGTCTTTCAATTTGTTTTCTTTGATTGCCAACATTTTGCAGTGCTGCCAAGGTGTTTCTCTTGCACAGCGTACTAATTGCTCCAACATTCACCCATAGCACGTGAGAACTCTCTTGGTTAGAGAAATGAGAAATCCTCTCTGAGCAGTCATTTTAAAGAGACGTCCATTAATGATAGGAGGCACAGCACTCTGTCTGATGGACAGACCTGTGTTCATGATGACTTATATATTTACTTTAATGAATTGACAGTGTGGTATAATGAGACAATAACAGGCTACAGATGCAGACATATACACACACACCTATGTGTGTTTCACCTATGTGTGTGAGGGGGATTCTGGCTGTAACGGAAGTCATTGTAATGAAACGGAAGTACCAAACTGCTAGTGGTCTCTCTGCTAGCTCCGTTAGCCCCGTTAGCTTCATTAGCTCCACGCTGCTACAGGGGCTCAGCTGATACAGAGAACACAACTTGAACTCGGACGTGTTTGTTGTGTTGATCGCCCTCAAAATTGGCGATCGGAGAATCCCTAATCGCAACAATTGCTTAGAAATTGGTATACACCATGTTTTGAGCGTACGCCACGTTTATAAATGAGGCCCCTGGGCCTTAAAGAAGAAGATGGACCTTCATCAATTCAGTTTTCGACTCTGTTTTTTATACACGCACATGCTATTGTTAGACATAAAATACATGCAGTTATATTTTGTGCACACATGCACGTGCATTTTGTGTTGTATAGTTACAATAAACACAGTTATATATGCATACATGACCATGCATTGAGAGGTCCAGAGCGGAGAGGCTGCCAGTCTAGCCGGCCCCAGGGAGCAGTTGGGGGTTTGGTGCCTTGCTCAAGGGCACCTCAGCAGTGGCCCGGGAGGTGAACTGGCTGCTCTCCAGTACCAGTCCACACTCCGTATTTCTATTGGTCCGATCGGGACATGAACCGGCGGCCCATCGGTCCAAAGTCCAAGTCCCTACAGACTGAACCCCTTAAAGTCAGGATATCTCTGCCTGTGAGTCTGTCTCTAACAAGACCCATTGTAATGTATAAGGTTTGATCTTTTTTACTGCTGCCCAGGAGGTTATGATTCGGTTTGACTGTCTGTCATCAGGAGAAAAAACTACTTTGCCTCATTTCATGAAACTTGTTGAAGAGGAAAGGGCCACGGAAGCAGACATGGCTTGAGAAATGGGACCATACGAGGACCATGTGAATCCTCAATACACCGAAGGAGGTCTCTCCAAGTGTCAGTGTTGGTTAGAAATACAAATAATAGGGATGGGAACGATTAATCGAATATTCAAAATTATTCAGGAATGAGAATATGAGTTATGAATATCTTTATTGTAATTTCTTTTTTCTTTTTTTTGGGAGGGGTGCCGAAGATTATATTATCAAATGGAATAATTCAATGCATACGACAGTGCCATAGCTAAGTAGGGATGGGTATCGTTAAGGTTTTAACGGTACTACTACTTTTATCGATACCGCTTATCGGCCCGGTCTTTTAACGGTATTCTTATCGGTTCTTTTGAGAAAAAAAAAGAGGTAAATTGATTAAACAAATTGTGAACAAAATGAGCATTGCTTTTTATTTAAATTAAATACATAATATTTCACATCAAAAGAAACAACAATGTTTTAAACAAATAATATTAAATAATGTGATGACAGAACTGTAAACAGAATGAACATTGCTTTTTATTTACTGAAGAAATACAGTGGCACTGGTACAGAGCAACACAGGTGGGGCATAAAGGTATGCTGCAAAAGGCCTAACAGTTCTTCTGGAGGAAGATTCACATGTTTGCCTTCTCTGGCAGAAGTCAGGACCTCTCCTGGCTAATAGTGTTCCCTGCAGTTGAAAATACTCTCTCGCTAGGGGTGGAGGAGGCTTGGACGCAGATATATTTTGTTGCAAGGTGTGTAAGGAGGGGCAGAGTAGCTCTCTTTTCCCACCACCACATCACAGGATCTTCAGCCATGAGTACTGGAAGCAGGTGTTTGTAGAGCTCAACCTCTTGGTCAACACGCTCGTTAAGGGTGAGGGACAAGGTGTTCTTTTGGGTGGTCACCCTCAACTCCCTGTCCTCCTCTGAGAACAGCTCCTCCAAGGCACACTTTGGTTTAAACAATGGAGGAGTCTCCTCCATTCCCTCTCCTTCAGACTGCCCCTCCTGCTCTGTGTCTGTCTGCCATGGTGTTGCTTCTGTCACATTGGCCTCAACAGTTGCCTTCCTCCTTAGCCTGTCCCAGGTGGCATCACTCACCAGCCTTCCTTTAAATCTGGGGTCCATTGCTGTGGCCTCATGCAGAAAGGCTTGAATATCCTCCCCCTGATATCGTCCTGAGAGGTTTCCCCATACCTTCTCTTTGATGCTTGAAACAAAGGTTGTGTCCTCATGTTTCAAAGTGAAGTGGTCCTCAAGTTTTTGGAGGATGGGTATCATTTGTCCACAGGTGGCATCTTTTTCATAAGACACACAAAGTGTGGATGTATACAGGATCTTCATGAGCTTGACAAACTCCTCAGCCTTATGAAAGTCCTCATCCTTCAGGCGGTCCAGGTTGTCC